CTTGGTGAATTTAGGCGATGTCATTCAGAAGCAGGAAGAGGAGCAAAAGATTAGAAGGAGGAGAGGTAAAGAGACTCAAGTAATATGAGTGGTCATGACCCCACTAAAGGATAGCAGGTGATACAGAGAGATGGGAAATCATCAGCTAATGATCATGCAAAAACATAGGCATAAGCTGGCAGAAGCTACAGAACTATAAATATTTAGGTCATTCTTCATTTTTTATTAGTTTTTAAAAGTTACATTTGGATACATAAGTATTTCCCCTGTAATGTAAACGGGGCTACGTGTTTTGCCAGATTTTCTCCTAACCCCTATAAGATGCTCAATCTACAGGCCCCAAAAAGTACAAAGAAGAACGTTCCAGTTAAATTATACCACATTTGGATAAATTACACCCCACAGTCTCTGGTAGACTATTTAAGTCAGAGTCATACAATTCTTAGTTTAAAGTTAGCTGTGATTTATGGACATTACTTTTATAGTTGGAACTTTGAAAAATTATATTGGCTCAATAAAGCTTTTTTAAAATACTCTGTAAGAAGTATCTCTCAAATTAACATAAAATCAACATTTGTAATTGTAATTCATTCAAATCTTGGTCTGAGTTTATTCATTCTAGCTGATCTTTTTAACTTCATGACATAAAATCTGAACTTATGTAAAGGGTAAATGGGGGCATATTGGAGCATCTTAGGTGGTCTAATCTATTGCCAATCCAATAAAAACACTTCGCAACCACAGACAAAGATTAACAAGCTGTGTAGAGGCAAAGGGCCCGGCCATAGAAATGTTATACGACTTTGGTCTCTACCAATCACACATGAAAATACTTTGTACAGTATCAGCAAATGAGGATGACACAACAGGAATTTGTGGCAAGGCGCTCAGCTTAAATTCCAGCCCTTAACTCTTAATGCATGTCGCTGTTGTTTATATTTAACTCACATTTTTGTTTCATTGACCTTAATTTAAACTGAGAGCAGCTGTTTGCTACATTTTCCCAAAGGAATCCACTCAATGGGATCAGAGCTAGGCTTGGTGTACTACTACACTGTGCATTGGTTAACCGGTTATGGAGCAAAGGTTCAGTGTATCCACCTTTGTAAACATTGCAGCAGGTAAAATCCTGATGAGCTCAGAAAGGTAGCAGACAGTTATGGAGGGAATTGGCAGTTAGTCCGAGAGCGAACCCACACCTGTAATCCATTATTACTCATTCAGAGTTCACTCACAAAGCTCGGCAACTCTCGGTCATTACAGAGGACGTCTCTCCAGCGATTCTGCACATGGTCGATTGTGGTTTCTGAGATAATCGCCTACATTGGCATGCCGACTGGTACCCGTAGCACGGTTACCTCACACCTCGGGGGCTGCAAGTGATTTGCACACTTTCTGTATAGTGGTGAGGGTTTCCATGGACTACCCCAGCTTCCTCCCATAGTGTAAACACAGGCAATTCAGATGAATTTGAAATTACCTTAATTATGTAAATACGTAATGACCTGTAATGGACCTCCCCAGAGTGCGCCCCCGGAATTACCATTTAGTGCAGACTGATTCAGTCTTAATTAGACTACCAATTATTTAAATGGATGGACTGGTGTAAGTTTCATACTATGACACAAGTAGCTTTTGACTACTGGGCACGTTACTGATACACAAGTATACTTGGCTGTTCAGACACTTCAGAACACTATGACACTGTGACTATGAGTTTCTTTTCCAATAGCAAAATGAAGAGCCAGCCTACCTGAGACATCTAGGAAGGTCTGAGCCCGACCCGTACCAGCGCTGTTTATGGCAATGCATTCATAGTGTCCCTCATCCTCCAAGGTCACTCGCTCAATCTCAAACGAGGCGTTTGATGATTCCCTGGAAGATTAATGAATAGGTTGGTTGAGAATTTACCTTCGCTTTGGGTAACTGTGAAACTTTCCCCAGCTAGTATCACTACCGAAAGAGCTGGTCCTCCCCAAGTCTGACGCCATCTCGGCTGAACCGCAGCGTGAAGGGAATGAGGCTCTCCACCTGGCAGGAGATACGGCCTTTTCGTAGATAATAACCTGGGGTTTGCCGTGGCATCGTCACCTTGGGCGTATCTGGGCCGGAGGGAAAGTGGTGCAAGAACAGACAAGAAAATTCAAACACATTGGTCCATAAATTACAGACAGAAATGCTGGAAAAGACCAAGGACACAAAATTGATGCATGACGAGCATTCCATATGTAGCAGATAGAACAGTTTGAAAGGAAGCTAACTGGACATGGTGGCACACGACTGTCAATATTCCTTTTGCAATTTGACAATTATTATTCCATATAGAGACCTTACTAAGCCTAGTCAGGGAGGGACAGACCTGGGACAATACTGGAAAACGACACGCTGGAAACCCGCTGAAAGAGAAAGCCATCTTTGTCGTAGCCTGTGACCCTGAGGAAGAAGGCTTCTTCTGGGGGGAGGATCTCAGTGATGTTCCAAATGCCAAAGGGCTCACGATTAGGGTAGTATGGAATGGGTAGGGTCTTCATCACCCCACCGGCGATGCTAAGGAACTCCAGGCGGTCGGCTCGTGCTGGGGGTGATATTCCGGTGGTATTCAACAGGATGTAGGTGGGAATGCCTGGGTTGGAACACAGGCAGAGGGACATCAATGAAATTACCTCAAAAAACAATGCTAGCTATTCAGCATCTATAAATTCCAGAAAGCTGGGTTGATAGGTAAGACTCACCTTTTACAGGCCGGCTTGAAGTCATTTTGAAGTCCAGAGTGGGTTTTCTGGAGAAGCCAGCACGGAAGTCAATGGTGCTAAGCCCTGAGATTCGAACAGAGTGTCTCCCCTCACTGGACGTCTGCAGGGGGGGAGGGTCATTAAGGGTTTGGCGGTGCTCTGAGATTTGAAACAATAGTCCTACATCATACCATACCATTGAAAGAATGGGAACAATTTAACCTTTATCAGTTTCTAAATGAAAGTTTTCTTTAAATCTCCTTGTAATATTCATTGATATATTTAGCAGACATGCTTGTCTGAGACAAGTGATGAAATCTTGGGGTCAGATAAGATCCGGTGGTGTTGCAGCAATTGGGGTCAAAGGCCTTAACCAGACACAGGATTCAAACCCACAATCTTAGGACACAGCCACAGATCCCAAACCTACTCCAGTAAAGTTTGTCTTTGCTGCCTATCCTCTTGTCAGATGGTTCTCTTGCCTATCATAACTGTCTATCATAAGTTACTTAGACAGAATGTCTTCTATCCATCCATTTTCCATAGTCACCGATTCACTGGAGACACCAAGAGTCTATTCCAGGAAGGAAAGAGCATGAGAATCCGTGGGTATGATGCCAATTCATACACTCACACCCAGTGTTGGGCATTTCAGGTCCAGAAGCTACAAATCCAAACCCTATTGTGTTTCTACCAACCAGCTGTGTACTCTGTGACTGTGGATTTGCAGTTTCTGGACCTGAAATGCCCAACACTGCTCACACCTTCACACACAGTACAAGCAATGTAGAGACACCAAACCGAACGGTGTGTTTTGGAGGGCAGGAAGCCCTGGGAACCAGCGTACCTATAGGAAATCTGCATGAACACAGGAAGAACATGCCAAGTCCCCACATTCACACACACACACACACACAAGGCCAAAGTGCTGCCCAATGAGCCACTACACAATACGAGAGGTCAGATCCCAAGACCCTTAGCATGTGACATTCTTTGAAGCACCATCGGAAATGAATTCTTTATTGACTATATTTACTCGGGTTGTTATTGTTTTTACAAACTCTCATTTTAATTCCCATTTTCTAAGTCACTCTGGGCAAAGGCATTGGACAAATTAGTAAACGTAAACATGAATATATAAACTTGTCAAGACTGCTACATTACTCAAATGCAATAACCGAAAACAATACCCAACTGAAGCTTCAGACTAAGATTTTTCCACTGAATAAGGAATGAATTATCTGTCGTGTGCAAAAAGCTTTTTTTCTTTTTCCCATATAGCCACATGACTTCAGTTTCCCTTGTCTGCAGGATTAGCTGTCATTTGTCATGGGGTGGAAAGAGAGATCATCAATCATGGCTAACTAAGTTTGAATAAAGTTTCTTATTACATTACGAGAATGAAAATTTCCTCCAAAATTTAATTATGTTCATGTACTGAATCTGATGTGTTTCTGTTTAATGAGTACTGTCAGGAAAGTTGAATACCAGTGCCTTGCTGGTATTCAACACTATGTACAGAAACAGAAATGCTGTAACTACTGCCCATGAGGGTGATTTTGATAGAAAAGAATGAACACACATATCCTTTGTTAGAAGTCTTAGCTACAGGTCACAGGTACAGTACAGCTACATCTCTTCTCAACTTTCAGATCTCACCTCTGACCTTCTTCAGGCAAAATGAATATTGATGTTCACTCTGTGTAAGAATATCAATGATTCTCTCTGCTCCAGTTCCGCCTGAAGTCTGCTCGTGTAACCTCCTCCTTATACATAGATCCTGTATCTTTAACATTTGGTCAGTCCCAGCTGGGAATATAACAGTGTACTGAAGTCACACGTAGACCCAAATTCCTGAAGCAATACGACACGCGTAAGCATGATTATTCCTCATTTTCTATCACGCGCTGCCAAAATGCTCTTCTTTCAGAAAAGCAGTCCAGAAATTTCAAAAGATTTTTAAATATCTTATCTTTATTTCTTTAGTCAACTCAATCTATTATAGGCTTTAAATAAGGCAACGGGACGTGAGCAAAAAAATCCAGCAGCTATTCCTTGGGGTTGTTTGCATACTTTTCAAATTACAGCCTTCCTAATCTATTATCATGGGTCATAAAATATAACATAGGATGACGCCAAAACTACTCATCAGCAGGGCCAATGGCATGGGGGAGATCTAGGTGGAATCTTTAGAGAGTTTCATAAAAGCTCCCAGCATCTTTGCTACCCACGTACATCCCCTCCCCCCGGGAAGTAGTCAATGGTAGAGTTACTTCAGGGTAGGCGGAGCACACTTCAGACAGCAGGGGTAGAGTACTGAGGGATATTTGGTACTCAACCCAATTTAAGCCAGTTTCATATGGGATGGGACGTCTTGTGGAGCTTACAACTGTCAGAGTTAATTAATGGCATTTTACAAATATACAGTCTATCACAAAATTCAGGGCAACTGTAGCTAGAAACTTGAGTGTTTTAATGTGTTTATGTCTAAGAGAATCTTTATGATTCCACATCTTTGGCACCAGCCAATGGTCTAAAGAGACACAGGCAATAATATAATTTCTCATAAATATCTCGTGGGTATTCTGTTTTTACTCGAGTGTGGTGATTAGCCAGTTGTCTTAAATGAAACAGCATGTAAAGAGATTAAACAGAGACGACATGCTGTTTCTGTCTGAGTCGCATGTTTTCTGAAATAATGACAATTTTCCCCCCTGTATTATCAATGAAATTCTGTAAAGGGCAAAGTAACATTCCAGGAATATTCCAGGGTCCGTTGAGTGCAGAGCCGTACACGCAACGTAGCAGACTGGTAATCATTGCTTTTCAGCATCTGGTATTTGGCAGAGGCCTTATGACATTTACTTTTAAACCAGATTTCATCCACCCTGTAGTCTGTTTAGGTGAATTTAAATCTCAAATTGCCCATCGTGTGTGATTGTGCGTGTCCCAGTGCTTACTGGGATAGGCTCCTAAGTCACATGACCATACTGGAGAAGTGGTTAGAATGGATGGTTAGAAGAGAAATTTTCCAGATGGAACTGTCACTACGTGTTCAGCGTTAATCTGAATAGAGAATGTAGCCATGAGTTTGAAACTCTGTACATCCATCAGTCTTCCAACTGGGAGCCTATCATAGATAACACAGCACATGAAGCAGCACTACACCCTAGAAATAATTTAAATAATGTAGTATAAAGGCAGCCTCCTGGTATTTAGGTGAAAGTTGAGGACAATGATACTTGTGTGAGGTGAGTGTGTTTTGAGGTTTACAAAACCTCCACTTCGGTGATTAGCTATCAAACAAAAAAGGAATGTCACTAGGCCCTTAGTGGCTACTCTCCAGCTACAAAAAAAGCACCTTTTTTTCCTCGACGCTCTGCGTTGACAGAGTATCTAGGCTCAGGGGCACCACTGATTTACTACCTCACGCAGCAAACCTTTCAGCCAAACACAGGGGTAAGCGGATTACATTGGAATAAAAACCCTGGCTTTAAACAGAAGGCCGTTAACATTGGGCGCAAGTCATGTTTCTGTTTTTACTAAAGTAGCTAATTATGCCTTTCTCGAGGGAAAACGTTTGTCAGTTTAAGAGTCAGTTACCTTTATTGACCACATTCCTGGTTCGGGGTCCTTGACGTTGAGAACCTTGGCAGAGTTGGGGATATGCAGGAGTTCATTTAGACTCCTACTCTTCTCTAGGAGTCTCCCTGCCGGGACACAAGCAAACACCACAACTGCAGTATGATTCTGATGCTCCCATAGCAAACTGGAAGCCTTCAGAAACCAAATCGCCCACTAATGTTCTCAAGAACCATGGTTCGAATTACGGGGGGTACTGTACCCCCCGATCAAGACCCAAACCCCCCCAAAGAGACAAAAATAGCAGTTTGGGGGGTGGTCTTAACATTTTTGGTTTGTTGTAAAGAAAAAGATTACCACACCTTGTAGGAAAACTTTATGTAAAACGATTTCAGACACCCCTAATGTGGACCGTACCATTTTAACCACCTCGGCGCTAAAAGTAGCCAGTCGGTTGCGTCATTCATTCTCATTGAGTGACCTGTTCATTGTGTTCGGCTGTCATGGTACTGTTTGTCGTGCGTTGGTAAATGTAAGTAGCCAGCAGAAGTCTAGCCTGTTGAAAATGTGTTATTTTAAAACCTTCATTTATTCGTTTACGTGTTTCATCGACTAATGAAACCTGACGTCTTTATAAGTTGAATTACTTACCATTGTCCTTCTGAGACAATGGTGTTCTGTTGAGTTGAGCTACTTTGTCGAGGTAAGCTACCGTAGTGCTAATCAATAGCCCTAACCATAGCTTACCTCGACAAAGTAGCTCAACTCGACAGAACACCGGTACAGTCAACGTTAGAGACGTTAACTAGCAAGATAAGCTAAGTTCTCTATTTAAACCAGGCTTATTTGGTGAGGTAAGATCGATCATGGTCATTTTCCAAGGAGATGAACTCCCTATGTTTTCATTCTCATTTTATCATGAATAAATTGTGCCTTTCTGAAATTAATTCGTATTGACGCGGTAGCGGACCATAATGGTCATAGAAGTGTTATGAAGGCAGTACCCCCCAATTATGGAGGAGTAATTCGCACTCTGTCTAGAACTATAATAAAACTGAGGAACAGAGGACTATGGTGTGAGTTGAGACATGGCAGGTATATGATGAGGTCACTGCCTACCCTGTGGATCCCGGATCTCGATGTTAGGTGCCGGGCCGCTCAGGGCCACTGTGACCTCCTTCAGACTGGGGTCAAACGGGATCTGCCATGTGTTGGTCACCCCGGACTGATGGTCTGTGGACAACAGGTGGACCTTTGAGGATTGCACAGCCTCCTCTACCCACTTCAGCACCTGGTGTGGAACAGAAAGGACAGTATTAACATCTATACAAATACACAAATATTGCATGCAACTTGAAGCTCACATTTCATATAACGACCTATTTTTTCTCCACCAGTCAAACCATCCATCCATCTGTGTTTGACTGTTTATCTAGTGCAGGGTTACTATGTCCATTCCAGGAAGCAAAGAGCACAAGGAAAAGCAGCACCCTGCCGAACATGGAATTCCATGCATTCATGAATCAATGCATATTATCAGATTTAAGGTAGTTACTGGATTTGGCAGCTTCTGAAAACCACATTAATTGAAATGAAAATGAGCTGGACAACTCTCTCTCCATACATAACTTCCACCCTGTGGGAGCTGTTTATCAGTGTGTTGGACTCCCCCCCCCCCCCCCCTTCCTCTTTGGGTATGCCTGTGCCTGTGCTGTCACCACTCTATGATCATGGCAGCTTCATCTCCACAATAAACTGAAGTTCTCGTTACTAATGATGGAAAGCTCAGATTAGCCTAGATTCATCACTGCAGTTCTGAGATTTCATTAGGGTATCCGGCATTTAGAAATGAAACATACCATTGAATTAAACTGCCCAGGAGGTTAATTCAGTCGCTTCTGGGAAATATCATGCTAGATTGTCAACTTCCTAATTCCTAACAGTACAAACACATTTCAGAAGCATCAGATGGGTTGCATCAAGTTAAGCGGGGGGCTATTTTTCGGAGATCTCCTCAAGAGTTAGGTGCTTAGTTTGTTTACTCACGAACATTTCTGAAATACTTATACATAAGTGTGTGGAACAAGCAATTAAACCCCACTCATGGTGTCAAGGTTACTTTGGGAAAGGAATTTGAAACACATGGTGGCCCCAAAACTGAATAGCTTTATGGTGATAGGCACCAGTTAAAATTGTTTAAAAATCCTGAAGAAAGTCTTAATGTCCAGTGTTCAGTTACAAAAAGTCACAGGAGTGCTCAGGGGGGGGGGGGGTCGAGGAGGGGTAATTTATTTTACAAGACTAAGTGCATAAATTCATCTATAGATTATGAAACCTCTGCCGAAGTGTGAAAAAGTCTGTATCATTTCATCCATCCATCTATCATTCGTAGGCACTTCTTAAGTACAAGGTCATGGTGAATCTGGAACCTATCCTAGGAAAAACTGGGCATGAGGCAGGGGACACCCTGGATGAGATGCCACTCAAACGGAAATGGCTCATAAACAGAAAAGGCCCATATCTGCGGTTGCAGTTTTCCGCAGTTAATCACAGTACAAAAAAATGTGAAACGTGTAACAATATGATTATTCATTGTTCCTTCATTCTTTGAGAGGTATAAAAAGCATTATCTTCATTGCTTCATCATCTCTTCATACATCCATTGCTATATCGTCTGAGAATTAGGCTAAAGAATCAAAATCCCTTACATTCAGAGAACTGTACAATACTGTATAATAATGTACAATGTACTTTCTTATTCCTGTATTTTATGTTAGTGATGTTTTATTGTGCATAATTCATCAATTACCATATGCAAGTACACAGAAGTCTAGTTATATATTGGGTCTGTGGATGGTTCGCTATCACCCACGGTTTTGGTTATCTGTGGTAGGTTTGGGAGCGTATCACCCGCAGTTTTGGTTATCTGTGGTAGGTTTGGGAGCGTATCACCCGTGGTTTTGGTTATCTGTGGTAGGTTTGGGAGCGTATCACCCGCGGTTTTGGTTATGTGTGGTAGGTTTGGGAGCGTATCACCCGCGGAAACCAAGGATTAATGTAATTAGCTTTTCCATCCTGTATATTAATAATGTTCGGGCTTCAAGCCAGTACTTATTTTTTGCATCACTGGAAATAGGGTCATGTGACAGCACTATCCTGAGGAAAAACTATGATAAAGAAGGAAGGCAACTTACCTCATTGACCTGCTTCTTATCCAGGTGAAAGACCTGACCAGAGCTGGTTGAGGCGATCTCTTCATAGACTTTGTAGCCAATGTGTGCTCGATCATCACAGTCACCGGTGAGCACGAACACAACCTGGATGAGGCAGGCTTGGTGAATGGTCCAGGCAAGGATGAAGCAAAATATGAGACGGACAAATATGAGCTCTGGTTACCTGGGACTGCTTTTGCTGAATGAGCTGTAGAACTTCATGTGTCAGCTTATAGTCTTTGGATCGGGCATCTGTGAAGACGTAGATGAAGGATCCAGGTAAAGAGATCTCCAGAGCTATTTTTATTGCTCCGATGCTCATCTCTGGACAATCTCCTCCTCCCTGAAGAAAGAAAAATCAGTCAATGCTTCATGCATAGAAATCACAATAATATTTTACATGACATTGTAACCTCATACTTCTTTAATCTCACCAGCACCCTTTGATGAAGCCATTTTCATTCCATGTGATGGTAATTTCCACTGATACAAACATAGTTGTACAGCTGGACCTAATGCAACCACTTAATTCATTAAGTGGGACTGGAGACGACCCCAAACTGTCTTCTTCCTGCATCCTTGGAGGTGCGTAGCAGAGGTAGGAGTTCTGTTGGCTAGAAGCCAAGTAGCCCCGCACATCTGGAAGTGAGCTATCTCTGTTTCCACTAGAAGGAATGTGAGGAGCTCCGGGTTCCTTTCCCTGCCCCCCTACTCCCCTCCACCACCAGTAATCTCTGTAAGGAAACAGCTCAAAAATCCCCAAGACCAGTAACAGTCATCGCCAACCCATCTCCCCTCCGGCAAACCCCCCAAAGCACCAAGGGCAAACATAACCTCCATAGCATAAAAACCTGCCACTTCAGCACACATGACTCTGTGCACATAAAGCAAAAGGTACCTTTTATATAATAAAATCAACCTTATATTTCATCCTAGCTATTCTCTACAATTGACTTGTGAGAAGGTGAGAAGAGGATATGCATATTGGATGAAGAATAAAATCTCTCTGAAGCTATCCTTACACAAATCACGTGCTTTCCTGGCAGGAAAACCTCATGCTGTGCTTGCATATTTCAGAAATCTCAAATACACGGATTTCCAGCAATATGGATGAAAAACCTCATCAAGTTGCCATGTTTTGTTAGTCCTTTTCCTTAAGAGAGCTCTTGTTTCTTCTGTTTGAACATAAATTGTGTGAGTATTTAAAAAAGTAAATTAATTTCTCGGCCATTGCCAAGAAACATATCTTTCATAATTCATAGCTATACCGTTCTCAGATTGTCTGAGGGAACGTACCTGAACATAAAGTTCCCTGAGCTCATACTGGAACTTCTTCGGGTCAGTGGTGATGGTAACTGGTCCGATCTCTGTAAAAATAACAGAACACAATGTTGGAAATGACCGTGTTAATACATTGTTGTTTTAGAATTTATGAAGCACATTTGCTTTGGCCCGCATGTGTGTCGCTGGTAGCCAGCCAACATCTCACTTCCTGCATACGCGGACAGCTTCTGATTGAGACTAATGCTTGCATAGCTGTGGCATTCCAACTATGCTAACTGCAGCTATTTCAGATTTCATCTGTAGTCGGGGTATGACTGATGGATCATTGAACCAACTGTGCTCTAGAGGACACCTCTGGCCACATGCTACAACTAAGGTCCCTACACTATTATTTCTTCGTACAGAAGGTTACCAGCACCAGAAAACTTGTCTGACATGGATTTTAATTGCTTTGCCAGTGATTCACCATCAGACAACCCCCCTCCCCCCCCCCCCCCCCGCACCCACCCACACCCCCGGCAAGACCACTTCAAAAATTATAAGGGGGACCAATTTCAAAAAGGTTTCACATGCTGGAGAATTTTACAGCTCAAAGCAGCCTACTTTTCCAACAGAAAGATATCATATAATTAACTCGACAATGTGTCTGCCTTATCTGAATTATTTCACCATAAATTGCTTTTTGGAGCTCTCAACGGCAAGACTACTAAGAACTTAGACTAACGTGGGCCAAACAGAAGTCAGTACAAAAAAAAGGATGACGAAGCAGGTCATTCGAACATGGTTTAAGAAACTTAGAGGAGCAATTAAATTAGATACCCCCACACAGGAACTAAGCTTTTTTAAATGGAAAAATTCAATGGAAAAACAAGTGATATCATGCCAATTTCCCTGTCCTCCTGATAGTCAGCACCTGTAGGATAATAATTTGATAGACCCACTATTTTAATGCTCCACGCTTCTTGGTATTCAAATAACCTGTCGAATTATTTCCCTTAAATAACACTTCCTAGTCAAAATGACTTTCCCATGAGACTTATATGAGCATGAACATAACTGATCTCTTGAAGCGAAATGTAACCTTGCATTCAGCGGACAAAAGCTGACAATCGTGCAGGCATTCTGTGAAGTCACACATTTAAGGGTCCTCATAAAACACAAATCTGGCTGCAGCTGCCGGTGGCTGAGGTTATAAAGGCTTCTACCTCGTTACCTCATACGGCCATTTCCCCTCGCGTCATCCTTGCGGCTCAGGTGTTGCTTTCATGGCAGCAGCATCTTTCAGTGATTAAAAGGCCGGAAAAGCGTGGTGGTGACCTCATGCTTCATTTCTACATCCCATTCTCATCCAGTAGTTTCGGCAGTAGATACTTAGTTCTTATTTTAATAGACGTCTAAGTACTTATAGTGATATTTTTAGTAATTTTGTTGGGCAGATGAGATGACATCATTCAACCAGCTGCAGTAAATCCTCAAACTACGTAAACAGGCGAATATGAGGTTCTGAGAAGAGGTTTTGGACAGGACATGGGTTTCTCGTGAGCAGTCAGTACTAGTAAGTTGCCAACAGGCTAATGCCTTAATTCCTAATTAAAGTTTTTCAAAAGACTTTCATCACATACAGTACATATGTCTATGATCTGAAGGTCATGGGCTCAAAACCCATTTTGACGTTACTTTTTATTTATTTAACAGATGCTTTTTATCCGAAGCCACATACATTTTTGAGAAAACAGGGTCACAGTTCCTGGAACATTTGGGTGTTCAGGACCTTGCTCAAGTCTGACCCGGCTTTCTCAGTCGTACATCGCTTTGGATGAAAACATCTGCAAAATAAATAAAATGCGTAATTATTATGCGCAACAATTAATGCAATATAACATCGTAAGAAGGGGTGAGGTATGGATGTCCCAGGGCTTCAGTAAAAACAGACCCAGACCCAGAGTGCTTCCCTCCCACTGTCCATCCTTCCGAGACCTGAAGCACGTTTCGCTATCTGGTTTCTCTCTCGTGTTGACAAAGCAAACTCATCTTTAGATCTCCCAATCCTTTTTGGTTCAACCCAACACCACCCCCCAAATAAATCCCCAGTTCTTTCTTCCCATCCCCATTCCATTTGGTTCCGCTCACCAACCTGACCAGAGCAAGCCTAACATTAACTCCAGGTGTCAAAAAAACCATCGTTGAAAACTCTCGTACAGCTCGTACAGTACCAAAAAAAAAAAAATGAATTCCCCAAAAACTCAGCCATCCCCACCTCCTAACTGATGCAAATGTAGCATTCTGACTTGCCAGCTACTTACTGGGAAATTACCCCTAAAATAAACAATACATGCATGACAGGAATCAAAACTCTTATTCCACTGGTCATTAAACTCTCTCAGCATCATTTAATGCAGTTTTTATTTTTTTTATAAATCTATGATAAATGTATAATATTTTTTATAATACCAGCTCCCAGCCAAGTTCGACATCATTACTGTACCCAACCTGCTCAGCTACTTGTCTAAAATAATTATTTTTCTTCATTTTCAGACCTGTCGACACAAATTAAAATTAGTAGACGATTCATTTAAAAAAAGGCACGTTAAGCATATTATATGATGTATGATGATCCAAGGAATGTCTTTTCAAATGCTCCCATTTGCAGCTACAGCAAAACTCAAAGTCGTGCAATGTTTGAACAATCTAAGGCTCTTTAGAATGAACTGACAGGAGACGTACTTGGCCACGGCAAACAGAGCTGCTCCTGAATGAAGCCAGGGCGTTTTTCATGTGGAGAATTTTGCCAATTTTTCTTTTTTTCTTTCTGTCAGTAAAGTTGAAATATATTAGGAACAGAGAGTACTGCATGGTTTCCTCTCTGAACGGGCCAGTCTCACTGCATATAACCTTCTCTCTGCGATTCTGCAGCAATCTGTAACATTTATTACATAACACATTTTTTCCTGACATGAATTCCACCTCCAAATCCATCTCTTTTTGGTAATTGCTAATCCAGGATACAGGTGTCGTGACTCTGGAGCCCATCCGAGGAAGCACAGAACACAAGGTAGCCTGCACACTGCATGACACAGAATACGGGCTATTTAGAGTCAACAGTTCACTTAATCACATGCTTTTGGACAATGAGAGAAAACACCTGGAGAGAACCTGTGCAAACACAGAGAGAACATGGGATAGGATCTGAATCCACAAGCCATAAGGTTTGAGCCCACTGAACCTGCTCTGCGACTGATATAGAGTGATATTTGTTGCTAACCTACAGTATAGGGTATTTGTTCATACATGTGTGTTACGTGATGTTTGTTTCAAGGAGTGAACTGTTTGTCATACACAGAATCCTGCCCACAGCTAATTCTGATCATGAATGAGGACCGTTTTTTGGATCTGCATACCTGCGTTCTCAATAGCCTACTCTACCCACAAATTTACATAAATACCTGTGTTCTCAATAGCCTACTCTACCCACACATCTACATAAATACCTGCGTTCTCAATAGCCTACTCTACCCACACATCTACATATGTAACACATATTTCTGTTTGTTAATATGTCATGTCTTGTCTCTTAAACTCATGTCCTCTTTCCACAGTGCTGGAGTTAGACAATCCTGCATTTTACTGCACATTGTGGTGAGTATAATTGGTCAAGTGACAAATAAAACTTTGAAACTTTGAAAGGACCAACTGTGGAAAAAAAAGGTATTAAAACATGCATTTGTTCAGTTCCCTTGTGAGGTTACAAAGGAAATTTTAGTGCTTTTCCTTTATGAACGATGATGAACAACAAAATGGGGTAAACAGGAACACATGCTTGAACTCAGCTAAAAATAATGCTTAGAAGTTTTCATGAGGGAATCAAAAACTAAAAGATGCCAAATGTTTATCAGTTTACAGCATTATACTAGACAGCCTGCTTTGTTGAAGCGAAACCCAACAGGAACAAATAAAATGCATTTTTGGTAATTTTGTTCATGCAGCGCCTATCTGAGGTAATATGCTAAATTACCTTGCCCACACAAATCACACGAAGCTAAATGCTAACAGGGACGCAAACGGAATGTAACTCGCCAGGGTCCCTTCCAGCAAAATCTGAACTTGGACGTCGGGTTAAGCTATTTCACTGGGAATGGCGTCTCTGCTCCTTGCCCTTGGCAGGATTACTGGGGAATTGCAGGCCTATGGGGGGGGGGAGTATTCAATATTATTATAATGTATTCCTGACAGTCTTGGGGGGGTCAACATTCCCCAGTCAACATTGGGTTGAAATGTCAGGAAATTCCAAGGTTGTGTCTTGAGGCACTGGAGCAGTCTGGGAAACCAATACAGCATGTTCTGCATGTCACAGGTGAAGCAGCTTATGAAGCTGGGGACGTGCTCAAATTAATGGTTCAGAACATTTGAGTTCAAGTTTTTTTGACCCCTGCCCCTGGGGGTGCCACCCCCCGCACCACAACATTTTACACTCATCACATTCAATAATTAAGTCATTTGTTGAAACTGGGCAAACTATAGATCCAGGAACAATGAATCAAAGGCTCCTTCCCAACAGCTCAATGGGAAGTCCTCAGCTTCTTCATTCCAAAGGTTTGCAAGCCCCACTGCTTTAACGACTTTAATCACCAGAGTCTTTCCACCATTATTCAACATCATTGCTTCCCTTTTCGATTAAAAACCCCCTTTCCTGCTTTTGCTTTATCAAGTTTCTCCTGGTGCTTTTTCCCGCCCCTTGATACTGTCACTTTCTTGCTTATTGGCATCCTGTTCAAGTTGGACATTCATGCTACTTCCACCGTTTATCATTATATTTTCTTTACCTCACTGAGCTTAAAATTTATGCCTAAACCTGGAAACCTGTTCTGAGCCGCCGGGCTTTAGAACGTGGGATCTCTGGTGTAGTTCAGAGACCTATGCATAACCATCTGCTACAGTCACATTTGAGATGGAAAACTGCTCCTGTACCACAGACAAGTAACTTATTGGCTTTGCTGACATCCCAGGCATTACTTATATTTATCTCTTCTTAACATGTTCACCCCGTGAGCCTGACCAGGATAAGCAGTTAGAAGATGGATTGATG